CAATTTTTTTTATTATCTTAGTACTTTAAATGGATGTAGCATGATTTATCCATTCAGAGAGTGGCATGGTTTTTGTTACTTTGCTTTAAATACATATTACTTTAGTCTTAGACTTTTTTCATCTGGTTAAAATCTGTAGTTTCACTGACCAAAATGATAGAAACCCTTAAATCCCTCTTCAATCCTTATGAACCCTACCTGTCATTGGAAACTATAATTAGAATTTTTAAAGACAAATTAGGCAGCAAAGTCATATGCAGAAATTCATTCCTAGTTAATATTCTAAGGTGTGATTAAAAATAGATGTTTGCATCTGGGAGTGACCATTTTAGTAGATTTTAAACTTGGTAAAATTTATACTGCCTGTTCATTTCCTTATGCTTCAGTGCCTGATTTTAAGTGAAAAGTTGGTATAATTTAAACCAGAGCATTACAAGTTTATAAAGTTGTAAAATTTTTAAATGGAAGAATTTTCTTTAAGCAATACCAATTGTTTAAGGTGGGTTTTAGTTTACATAACTGCATAAGTATTTTTGAAATTTGTGATTTTAGAGGATTTGTGTGTAAGTATTCTGATTTGGGTTTCTGTAATAATTTCACTGGATAATATATATTGATCAATGAGGTTCTCCATTGGTGATTAGTTGTTAACTATAGTTAATGTGTTTCTGGTTTTATGGAAGCATGAACAATGTTACAAGTTTCTAAATTGGAGCTTCCTGGTAGGATAGTCTTACATATATTTTGGCCAAAAGGCCAGTTGTGATACACTATTTAGTAGCTTTTGATACTCATAGCACTGTACCACAATCAAGATAATGAATCTATGTCCATCATACCCAAAATTTCCTTGGGGTGCTTTGTCATCTTCTGCCCCTTCTAACCCTCATATCAAGATAACCACCAGTCTGTTTTGTGACAGTCTGAGTTTGTGTTTTATATAATTTTGTATGAGTGCACATTTTTTGGGGGGTGTGTGTATGTCGGGTGGGGAGTCTTTCACTCAGCATAGTTTTTTTAATTGATCCATGTTGTGATTTTTATTTTTAGTTGAGGAGTATTCTATTGTTTGGATGTATACCACAAATTGTTTATCCAGTCACCTGTTCATAGACATTTAGGTTCCTTCAAGTTTGGAGCTTTTTCTTTTTTTTTTTTTTTAAAGATTTATTTATGCATACAGAACGGGGTACAGGTCAGAGGTGCTGGGGCAGTGAGAGGGTGCAGAGACAGAGTGGGGGAGCAGAACAGGCAGATCAATGAAGTAAACTACTGAAGGGAGCAGCAGGTGGGTCAGGAGAGGTCTTAAGTGCCATGTGGTCACCTCTGGAGCAGGTGGGGATCGAACTCCTGCTGAAGTGGTTGGCTTTAGCTTCTTAGTGCTGTGCTTTAATCCACTATGCCACCAGGGAGGGCCCAAGTTTGGAGCTTTTTACAGAGAAAGCTTTTGAACAACAAATGTCTTTATAGACACATGCTTCATTTCTGTCAGATAAATAAGATGAAATAGATGAACCATATGACTGGTGTATATTTGGTTTATTAAACTACCGATTGTTTTTGCAACCAATTTCCACATTGGTAGTACCATTTTCTATTACCACTAAAAGTGTATGAGTTCATGTCACCAACATGTCAAGTTCATTTCAGATACATGTCACCTGGTAATGGGCAGTCTTTTTATTTAGGTATTCTAATAGGTACAGAATAAAACTACACTGTGATACCATTTCACATTTCTTTAATAATGATACTCAGATACTTTGTACATATTTTTTCATCCGTATATTGTAAATCGTTTGCCCATTACTTTGAGAGTCCTTTATATTCTCTCTATTGGTCCTTTATCAGATGCACAATTTCATGCAATTAACAATGTCATTTGCAGTGCAAAAATTTTATAGTTTTATTAGTTTTCATTAATTTTTTAATTGTGCTGTTTCCTCTAGAAATCTTTGAATTATATGTTTTAGATTTAAATTTCTGATGCATTTTGAGTTCATATTTATATAGTTTGCAAATCTTAAGTGTTTTCTCTTAAGGGTGCGTGAAGTGGGATAACCATATTTTATCCATTATTTAAGAACCATTTGATGCAAAGTACTGGTGAATTGACTTTCAACCTCTTTGCAAATGAAGTTGTCCATATAAATGTGTTCTTTTCTGAAGTCTCTGTTTTAATCCATTGATCCACTTGTCTATCTTGACAATAGTATGCTTTTGTTTCTTTGTTTTCCTCCTTAATAAGCCTTGAAATCAGGTTGTGTCATGTCAGTTACTAAAAAAATAACTTTAAAATGTCGCTTAGGCTATTCTAGGCCCTTTGTATTCCCACAAATTTTAGAGTCAGTTTCTTTCTTTTGACCAATCTCTTTGATTTTCTGTTAGAATTACGTTGTAGATGTAGGTCATCTGTGGAGAATTGAAATTTTTGCAGTATTGAATCCTAAGAACATGTAAACTTACCCATTTATTTAGGTCACCTTTAATTTTTCCAGCAGTTTTGTTATTTTCAGCATTAGGTCTCCCATATCTTTTGTCAGATTTATCCTTAAATCCTTTAACTTTAAAAAGAAAATTCAGTTTCTGATTCTTCTTTGCTAGTAATTAGAAATAAATTGCTTTAAAATATCTATCATACTGTGTTATTTATATGTTAAAATTGGTTTTTGAAGTATTCAGTCTTAAATTATACTTAATATCAGTCCTAAAATACTGATATTTTCATATATTGACAGATTTCACTTGTTAAGATTTTGTTTAAAATAATTATTTTTGTTCTGAGGGATATAAGTTTATAATTTCTACCCTTCCTGGTACTCTTTACTGAGAACTTTAGCCCTACCTATTGTCCCCAGCCTCACAGCTTAATGTCTTTAACACAAGATTATGGGGGTTTCTTCTCTCTGTTACTTTGGAAACTTTAAGGTAGTAATTTGAAAAGTTGTTAAATTTATTTGTTGTACATCTTTCAGGGACTTCTTTTTCATTGCGTCTTGCAAATCATTGTTTGATCATTGTTTATGGGGGATGTTTGAAACAGAAAAGTAAATTTAGTCTTTGTTAACTGTCTTGGCTAGAAGCAGATGTTGAGGCTCATTCTTTCTTCGTCTCCTTACCTGTCCTCAATTCATGTAGCCTGTTCTTTCAAGTTCAATATGAAGTAGTTGTCCCCTTTGAAATTACTTGCCCTCATTTTCACTTGCATATATTATTTTAAGTTCTAAAATTATTTAATTTAATAGAGTAAGACATAATTAGTTTCCCCACATCTCATTTTGAAGGTCTGATTCGAAGTACATTCCATTTGGGAATGAAAAGAAAATATGGGCATGCATTATTACACCTTTTGCATTTATTTGAAAATGAAACAGTTAGAAATGAAGCCAATATTTCAGCAGAACACGTAGTGGTATAAATGTTCCAGCTGCAGAGATGTCTGGTGAAAGTGCTTTCTTCAATTAATCAGTCTGCTTGGCCCTTACTCAAACTGAAGCATGTATCCTGCATTTACTTTAGTGTTAGCTATGTTTGTTCTGGCCATTAAATTCGTATTTAGAAAATGTTTAGCACATTTAAGGCTTCACAAAATAATTTGAAGTTAATTTTTTCAATATACTTTTTATATTAGCATGGATTCCTTTTTCCTACTTTGAACACATAAAGCAAAATCCCAGTATTTGTACATTAAGCTTTTTAACATAAATGTAGTTGGCTCTTTTGATTTACTTCCCTGGTCTCTTTCACTAGAAAGTAGGTGGGAGTAGATTTTTCCTTTGTAGGTTTATGAGGGACAGGTGCCTGGTTTAAAAACTGACAGGTTGCTTTTATTTCCATAGCTTAAACTGGTGTGGTTTTGGTGATGGGGGGGAGAGCAAGGTAATATTGTGGAGGTGGCACTGGAATGAATCAAAAGACTTTGGTTAAAGTGTTTTAGTATATTCACTAAATATGTGACTGAGCAACTCTTGTGATTTTCAACTTGGATATCTTCATCTGTCATGACTAAATTAATATTTAATGACTGATTTTATTATGTTAGGTACATTGATGAGCACCCTTATGTTTTACTAATCCTTTAAAATGAGTAGAATCTACTTTTTACAGGTGAGGAATCTAGGTTCTAAAATGTTAAGTAGCAGTAATGTCTTAGCATTTAAATGTTTAAGGATCATGTAATCCTAGGTCTTTAACTCTAAAGCCATATAGAACACTTTTATCTAAAACACTTTTATCTAAATTATAATCATTAGTACATACTAAGTGGTAAATATTCAAAATGCCTTTGTCCTGGTTCTCTTATTTTTGTTTCCTCAGTTTTTCTACCTACAGTATATTCTGATGATAAAAATCTTATATTTGTGTCAGCAGTTGGTTTGATTAATCCTAATCTTCAGGGGATGTCTTCTGAGATCTTAATGCATTTATTATCTGTTGCTTTTTTATTAGCTTTAGATTAGAGATACATTTAATCATTTATATTTGAAATTTGGAATAACGAATTGTTGACATTTCTACAGATTCATCTGTTTTTGTTAATGCTTAGATCATAATCTGAGGAAATGTTGCTAGTATTTAGCACAACACTGCACATAATACATGTAACTATAAGTAATTGTGTGAATAAATTCTGTCAACTAGATTTAGTTAATCATTCTCAATTTCTCATGGGCAAATTTATTGTACATATAGTGTTATAAATTTTATAATTCTATGGTTTTACATAGTACAATTAGCTTGTTGGATGTTTTAAAACAATTTGAAAAGTTCAGTGAGAATCAAAATGGTTGACTGAAGTTATTAGCAGGTACACTTATTTTATTTAGCAGGTAGACCAGTTATTTTGTCCCATACCTGTGAATTAGGTTTCAGAATTGCACAGTAGCATTTAAATTTTCAATTCAAAATATTAGTAATTTCATGTTAATAGTTTTTTCTTTAAAAACAGTTGTGATTTTATGTTTTACTTTTATGGCTAATTTTCTTTTCTGACTTATTAGTACTCCCTCACGTTTTGCTAAAGGAGTTGTTGACCACACCAAAATGAGTCTGCATGGTGCTAGTGGGGGACATGAACGATCAAGAGATAGACGGCGGTCGAGTGACAGATCACGAGATTCATCTCATGAAAGAACAGAATCTCAACTCACTCCTTGTATTAGAAATGTTACTTCTCCAACACGACAACACCACATTGGTATGTAAAAGTCATCTAACCTTTTAGCAGTTTTTAAAAGTATGTATTTACCTTTTTAAAGTAGTAATGACAATGAATCATGTCCAATACTTTTTTAGAGTAACTAAACTAGCTTTTCCTCTTTAGTTGCTTCTATTATTGCTTTGTTTGGTTCTTTCTGTGAAAAACAGATGTTAAATACAAATTAAAAGTGAATTTTTTAGAGTCTAAGACAGTCTTACAGAATTTGAGAAGCCTTTAAAGTTGTGATAATGTAGTTTTAAAAATCTTTAAAGTTGATTTTTATATTAGATATACAACAGTGGTTTGTTTTAAAGTAATTCATAGTAAGTTACTGATTAGAATCTTGGGTTAATCATGCTAATAAAGTGAAAGAATAAACCATCATGGAGTTACTCATTTTGATTTCTGACTACATTTCAAAATTAATAGTAAAAATAGAAAATGAAAAGGGAAATGTGAAGTATTTAGCTTTCTTGGCAGTTAACTTTGAACTTTTCCCCTCCTACTCATTATTATAAATTAACACCTCAGGTAAATACATTGTGTGATTATAAAGCAGCAAACTGAAGCAAAAGTATGTAAGCAATATGAATTTGATGATTTTCATTTTTCCCTCAAGAAGGTGCAAGTTAAATATCTCAGCATTAGTTGAAGTAGTTTGTATTTTAACATCTATTATAAATAGAAACCATTTATATTAGGATATAATTATGCATATTTTGAAATTAAATGTTTTGAAAGACATATTAGTACTGATAAGCCAAAAAACAACAAAAAATGTAAGAAAGAGTTGACAGTTTGTTATGTGCAGTCAGTATTTAGGAAGAGAATAAAAGTAAATAATAAATTACTTTATCAAATTTTAACTTCTGGAATGCTATCAGCTTTGTGGAAATAGACAATAAAAGGGAAGTGTCAGTATCTCTGGAGATACAGCAAACTTAATTATATAATCAGTAAAACGGTACAGAGTGTTCTGAGTAGTCTGAGTCATGGAGGAATTTGGCAAAAGCTGATGAAACTGAGAGTCACCTTTAAAATTTAGTGATCTGTCTTCTAAAGGAAACTTATTACAGAATCAGATAATTATGTCCATTTTGTGAAATACTGAAACATCTAAAAAAGATTTTATAATTTTACTTATTAAAATTTAAACAGTAATTATCAGATCCTATAAAATTTGTAGTGTCTTTAGCCAACAAAAGTGAGAATGAAAAGAAAGTATGTCATCATTTATTAAATCTGCCTTATTTGGTACATACTAAGTCATTTGAAAAATAAATACTTCTTGCTGACTGCTCCTTAGTGAATTTTTATTTCTTTACGTTGGGACCTTCCTTCTGTGAGATAAGTACAAGTCTGATAATGCCCTTATTACCTTAGAGAGGTTAGCAGAGTTTTTACGTAGTTAGTGTTCTCAGAATATTATTAATACTTTCAGATTTAACAGCTTAAATTTGTATTGTTAGTAATCTTTCATTAACTTTTACTGCTTATTTATTAGCTGTGAGCATATTCAGTTCCATAGGTTTCTATTTTTAAGTGGAGTAGTAACATAAAATTCAGCTAAATTTTGATCTTAATCTGGGTCAGTGTCGGTCAGATACATACTTAAGATTTGCAAGGATTATTTATTTTAGAAAACAATATTTTAGGCTTTATTCCTGTTAAGTACATGTTTCTGATGTTCTGTGAAAAGGTCATTTGAAATAATAAAGCAGAAATAATGTGATTTAAAACTTTTCTAATCAAAAATTTGTAAAAGCTATATGCAAATCTTGAATTTTGAAGAGTAATTTTAATAATCATTACATCTTTATTTCAGAACGAGAAAAAGATCATAGTTCCTCTCGTCCAAGCAGTCCTCGTCCTCAAAAAGTATCTCCAAATGGTTCCAGTAGCAGTGCTGGGAACAGCAG